GACACCACTATAGTTTTGACTATAATAGTCCGTACTTCAGAAGTGTATACAATAGGAACAAAAAAAAGGTTTACATATGTTACTATGCAGTGTGTAGTTAACAAAAATATAAGAGATATTTATTTACGATCAGTGTTTACAAAAATAATTAAACAAAAATGGTAAGTGTGCTTATTTTCATGTCACGAAAATATTCGGACACCATGAAAACTATGTTTATAATACTATTTATAAATCTTGTTTTTAAAAATTAATATTTTGTTGGATATCCCATGCGTTTTATGACATGCCGTAATCGCGTTGGCATATTACAAATTATTTTTTTTAAATAATCTTGCCCAATACGTAGCCATTCTTCTTGCAACCGTCTTTTTAGTTCATCTTTTGTGTTTATGGGAGTTGTTCGAATTCGACGATCTAATTCATCCCATAAATTTTCAATGGGATTTACATCTGGCGATTGCGGTGGTGGGTGGAGGACATTCTTGCAAGTGTATAATAAGAATTCTTGCACAATACGCGATTTATGCTTTGGATCGTTATCCTGATAAAATTTTATCCCACTTTGTAGTCCCATATTATGAGTACTTTTTTTTAAATTGTTTTACAAAATGTGCAGATATCTATTTTTATCGAGCATATCGTTGATAAAAACTAATTCTCCTACTCCATGGGCCGAAATTCAGCCCCACACCATCACAGAACCACCACCGTGTTTCATAGTCGGCTGCAAATGTCTGGGATTTAGTTCTTCTTTCGATTTCCGCCATACTCTAATCCTTCCATCGCTTCCAAAAATATTAAACTTGGACTCGTCCGCGAAAATTACATCTTCCCACCACTCACTTTCTTTCGAAATATAGTTTTTTGCAAAATTCAGTCTCTTCTTTCGGTTGTTCGCGTTAATATACGGCTTTTTCCGAGCTATTCTTCCATTATAGCCCTCTGATCGTAACACTCTTCTTATGTTTTCCGGATGCACTGATATTCCACGGTCATTATTTAATTCAGCTGCTAACTTTGGAGCACTTATCCGAGGATCACATTTGATTCTTCTAATTATCGAGCGTTTGTCCCGAGTATTGAGGATCGGTTTGCGTCCACTTTGAGGGATAGATTCAATTCTATTTTCATTTTCATAACGTCGCACAATATCCCATACCGTGCTCTTACTAATGTTTAATATATCCGCAATTTTCCGAATTGATTTCCCCTTTTGCCGATGAAAAATTACTAATTGTCGCATATTAAACGACGTATTCGCACTTTTGCGTCCCATTTCGCATAAATTTTGAACAAGACTGACAAATATTCGATCTATAACGTACTCTGTACATAGTATGAATGATATGTTTACAAACATTATTTCAGTCAGTTCTTGGAACCTGGAAACATCAGAAGTACGGCAAGTGTCCGAATATTTTCGTGATATGAAAATAAGCATACTTACCATTTTTGTTTAATTATTTTTGTAAACTCTAATCGTAAATAAATATCTCTTATATTTTTGTTAACTACACACTGCATAGTAACATATGTAAACCTTTTTTTTGTTCCTATTGTATACACTTCTGAAGTACGGACTATAATAGTCAAAACTATAGTGGTGTCCGAATATTTTCGTGACCGACTGTATTTCCGCGTCGTATCCCCAGCTAAGGGGTCCCTGCCGTATATCCATTGGTAAGCCACTTCGTTGGTGTTGAAAAACCATTTCACGACTAATCCCTTGTTCGGCGTGTTCTCGAGATCGTAGTCGCAATCCAAGATCACATAAGCAGTGTCGTCAGCCTTCACTGTTGCCGGAACGTTCACGCTTTTTATCACCAGGTGCCAGCATTTTAAAAAATCATAAAAAAGAATTGCTGAAGAAAACTATTGAGAAGAGATATGTAGGTAGGTGATAGTTCCTGCTCTCCTTTCTTTTCCTGTTATAAGATCTGTGTAAACAGCTCTGATCTCTGTTTGATATTGATTGATATCGGTCAAATTTAAACCTTGCTCAATACTTATTTTACTCTTATTCAATACAAGTTTCGATTTAAAACATAATATGAACTTACATTATTTACATGATAAGAAGTTATAGTTTAACCATCGCTTAATAAATTTAAAAAAATACGTTACAATATTTATTATTCATCGTTACTTACAAAATTAGATGTTTTTTTTATCATATCGTTACGTAATTCGTTTAAAATAAAAACGTGTGTTAGAAATTTAATTTAATTGCAAAGTTACATTTTTGATACTTTGTTTAAATCTTCTCTGTAGGAATGAAATAAAGCTAAATTAGAAATTTGAATTTTTATTTAAACCACAATTAGAAACTGATTCTTAGTTAATGTTTCTGCTGCTTTTATATTGTTGAAGAATATAAGCTTTTTGTACCACAAATTTTATAAATACAAATTTATTGTAAAATGTATATCCTTTATTGATATTTTTAGTAGGCTAATACATATCTGTTATTGAAACGTTTGACAAATTAATGTAATTTATTTCTGCCAAGCTGACACAGTAAAATTTGAAATTGAAATTGAAATAGGTTCTTAGAAAATGTTATTAAAAGAATATTGATGGAAGCATTAGTTTCGTCCGTAGTATGAAGTAATCAAGTAATCAAATAATCAAATAATAAAAAAAGAACGAAATATTTGAATAATTACAAAATTATATCAGTTGTGGCGTCTTAAAATTAAAATTACTTAATGCATCCTTCATGAGAAAATGACAAAGAAATTCAAAGCAGAAGTTTGTTTTCCGTGCGAAGAAATCGGTTTTTGATTTTTTTAACTACGGCACACCTCACCGAAAAATCTGAAAAAATTAGAGAATAATAGTTGTACTAATATCTAACTACCACATTAATATGAAATTAGTGCTCCGACATCTTCACTAAAAAATCGCATTTTTTCGGATTTTTTTTCGGTTTTTGATTTTTCACGACTACAATTTGCGATCAAAAAATCTGAAAAAATTCTATAATATGCGCTATCTGGACCTCAATGTTTTAGAATTTTTTCAGATTTTTTGTACGAAATTAAATAGGCAAAAAGGGCTAAAACCGGAATTTCGTTTTTTCCCTTTTACTACCCGCATGAATGAGATAGGGGGTTGAAACTTGGTGTGAGATGTTTTTTTTTTGGAT